GTCACGGGGGAAAAAGTCACGGGGGAAAAAGTCACGGGGGAAAATGTCACGGGGGAAAATTTCACGTGGAAAATGTCCGGTGACAGAATACCGGGGGAAAGTGTCCGTGAGCAAAATTTCCGGGAGAAACCAGCCTGCTTCCGTCTTAAAAGTACTGTAAATACAGTGTTAACGGCTTGATATTATATTATATGCAACTATTTGTTTGTATTGTGCAATCGAGTATCTGGCAGTTACTTCAATCTGTTTAACCATGAAGCCTCTGTTATCAAATGGTTATGACGCTCTCCTTGACAGCGAAAGGTCGCAGGATCGAAACCCATCAGAGGCAATTTATTACACAATTACGAGCCTTGTCAATGCCATATATATTCATTTAATTTCATTTTCATTTATTTATTCGACCAATACACATTTACAAAAGGTACAGTACAACAAAAATTATGGTCAGGGGCAGCTTAAGCAAAATTTTACTGTAACTCATTGAGAGTCAGCTGCCCCATTAATAAATATAAACATAAGGCATTTAAATACAATACAATAAATAGCAGAAATAGGCCTATCATAATTAAAAAAAAAAAATTGCTCTTACTTAGTATGTAATATCTTATATATAATTTATATAAGGAGAAAATTACAGAAATTATCTTATTACAGAAAAGTTTAGTATTAATGAAGGAAAAAAAATTAGAAAAAACAATATCTGTATTGTTTTACGTCCCGAATGTTTAAATAAGTTTTACTAGGATTATATACTTTACATCTGAAATAAAGGCCTCTTTATACATCTGATAAAAGCCAGGGCGGATCCAGTATCAATGTTATGTGCTACTCACTTATCTATTCTGGAACTGTTGTTGTTCCCCCTGCACATTAAAAAAAGAAAATCTGGATCCGCCCCTGAAGGCCTATGGCCTAACACGTTTTTATGAACTTCATTAATAAAATCTGGCAAATATACTTTGTTTCCCGAGTTTTATTTGACATATTTACACTTTTTAATTGATTAATTTTAATTAAAATATATTATGTGGTAAAATCGTTATTTTTTATTGATTGTTGCTTTAAAGTCCTTTCTGGCTCAATTATGGACAGATAGTCCTTATCGGCGGAGGCGCTCGCCCTTTTGTTAGCTCGTGGGCTCGGTTGAGGTCGTTTTGTAACCGGTGATGATTTTGCAGACTTAGGTTTTCTAGGAACTATTGGTTTTTCTTTTGGTGTTTCAGAATTCGGTCGCCTTGGTGACGCGTCCCGGATTACGTCATTTGGTACAACGTATTCATAATCAGAGTCGTCATCTGATGTAATATCAGTCTCGATCTTTGAATTTCTGGGACTTGATGATATATTTGTTTTAGATGAACTGGGTTTTAAATATCCATTTTTATCGGTGTTATTAGAATCTACAATTATGCTTCTTTTAGAGGAAGATGGACTAGGTTTCAAATACGCTTCTTCATCAAGTTGATCTGGCTTCAAATATCCCCCGGAATCTTCAAAACCTTTTTGTAAACGACCAGCGACTGACTGTGCGTAGGCGTAATCGTAATCCAGGACATCGGACTCATCTTTCTGTGTTTTTTGACATTCAACAATTTTGCCGCATACTTCATAAACTTGTTCTGACGCGGATGATGGATTCCTTTTGATTCGTTTTTGCCACATTGACAGAAATTGGTATTGTCGGGAAGCCCGATTTCTTTTAAGACTCTGGTAGTCTGGGTTTTCTCTATCAAACTTCGCCTTTTCTTTTGCTTTCCTGAAATAATAATAATAAAATAATAATATTAATAATAATAATAATAATAATAATAATAATAATAAATTATTATTATTATTATTATTGGTACCATGCACTAACCAGGGGCGGCGCCAGGAATTCCCAGACGAGGGGTCCAAGCTCCCCGACAAGGGGTCCACGCCCCGCCCTCCCCAATCAGGAAGGCCTAGTCCCACCCCCCGCCCCCAGTCGGGGAAAATTTTTGTTGCTAAAAGATACGGTAATAAAAATGTTGTGTTAATTATGGAATTCTTTATTTAAAAAGAATAATTTCGGCGCTCGGGATTTGATTTTTCCCCGACAACCTTGCTGGAAATTCTCCGACAGGGGGGTCCAAGTGAGGGTCCAGAGGTCCTTTGCCCCCTGGACCCCACACTAGAGCCACCCCTGGCCATAACACAGGGAGAAAGTTTCATCTTGAGCATTAATAGAAAAGAGTGTAAAAAAAATAAGCCTTTTAAAACTGGATGTTTCGTAACGATCTTTCACAGGGACCCAGATGCTTTACTGAGTCTAAATATGAGGGTTAGAGAATGGATTGGAGCTGCTTTTAGTCGTGAAAGGAAATCTTGTTCCTTCAAAGACTGTAAGTCCTGGACCCTGGGAATATTGGAAGCGTGCACGCGGCTAAATCTACGCTGTTGCCTGCAATAAAGGAGGGCTCAGTCCGAATCGGCCCGTCCCTCCCCCTACTGAAATGGCCTACATTCAGCTTTAAGTTTACCGGTATTAGACAGTGCCATTCTATGCCATAGCCATAACATGTTTTACATCAGCTCCAAAAATATGATGGGGTTGGGTTTGCGGTGGTGTGGATCTTCTGTCTGTAAAATTCCTCTCTGGATCTGCCACTGCGCTGCCAAATTACTAAAACGTAAAGTTTTAAAGCAAGTTAAGCCCATACCTTTTGCGTCGTAGGATGAGTAACACAACAAAAACTACAAGAGTCAGCAGTAGGATCATAACAACTATGATTATTGCAGTGTTGGATTTACCTAAAAGTTTAAAAGAATAAGTGTTATCAATTTCCAACTATAAGGTTAAATGTTATACATTTATCCGGACAAAAAAGGATCTCTATGCGCTTAAAACAGAAGCAGATGTAACTGGAAATACAAATAAAAAGATGAACTATAAAGCTAGTACCCAAAATGTAGTATGGGAGTAGGCCTCACCCTCGTCGCTGACCAGGGATTTACCAGGGATTTGGCCACAGGACTATCAAGCAACTTCAGGATTATTGATAGACTTATTGCAATCTCCAAAGAAAAAACGCCAGGCTAGAAATGGGTATAGAAAATACAAAGAGGAAGGGAATGATAAAGTTGTAAAAGAAAACAAAATAAGGACGAAGATGGCAAAAGCAAGAGGAAAAGAAAACGTCCTTTTTTTAGCAGCAGAAGAGAGCTTTTCATGGTAGGTCTACTCCAGTCATCAAGAATTAGAAATATTTGAAAGTATACGGTAACGCTTTATCTGCACCACTATGATGTCATATCGCATCCATATAAGGGCATGAACTTACATACACCCACGTGGGCAAATCACATTGTACCTGAAACTTTATAGTGTGTACCGGTACAGAGTGTTATGGAGACATTTATTTTAGAAAAATTAAGAAAAATAAAGAAGATGGGTTCTTTAAATATGCTGAATAATGATTAATTGTGGCATTTAATATCAATGTCGTCATCTTAACATTTAAATTAATAATTACAAAATTATATACACTTACTTCCAGAAATGTCGCATTTGGTTTGACATGCGACTTCTAGAGCATCTATAAGTACGTATTTGAAACTTTCTTGATCATGTCTGCAACGGAATTCAATCTAAAACAAAACGATACTATTTATTTATTTACTTATATATTTTATTTATTTATCATTATCTGTTTAGTTGATTTGATTTATTTGATATCAACTTAAAAACATAACAAACCGGAACAATTGAATACAATGAAACAAAATTGAGAAAACAAGCCATCAATGTTGATATCTGGGATAACCCTCTAAATCCCAATAAAGGATAAATTTCAGAGGGGTTCCTCTTAGGTGCTCTATGTTCTTCCAACTTATATTAAGCAAAACTATAAAATAGAATTTGAATTTACAATGATTATATGTATTTTAAACCAGCTGTGTTTTTATTACTATTTTTGTTATATTAATCGATAAATTAAATCAATTTTAACTGCGATTATATCGGTTCATCCAAAACCTATTATTTACTTATGGTCAATTTGTTTGGGGTTATTTAGACCTACTTACAGTATACCCTTTAGATGTGTTGAACGTGAATGAATATTCTTTTTGTAAACCGATGTTCTGTTCTATATTGTGATTGCCTTCTCCAGTTTGGTACGCAATATGTAAAGTTGTATTAGATGCTGCGTCCAGCGGGCTGGTAAACCTTAGCAAAAACGACTTACATTCGTCTTCTGTATCGCTGCACATATTGGTAGGAATACAATCATACTCTCGAATTTCATCTGTAAAAAGGAATAGATTATTATCATAAAGTAAATAGAGTTGTAACTGTTGTCAATACAGTGGTTTTTAGTTTGTTACATACGCAAAGATTGAACATAAAAAAGGCGAATAAAAGTGATATTGCGTTAGCAGGATCCGGATCCGGATAGCCAATGGAATGTAGAGTGAAGCGTGCATCTGTGCATTAGCTGCTGACATATATTGATATGTTCTTATCACAAACATTATATAAATAATCCTTTAATTATTTTATATTTTAATATTTAAATGTGATAGTCCTACTTTACACTTTTCCAACCATCATCCAGGCTAACATAAAGTACATACCTTCCATAAGTTCACCTACTGCAGACACCTCGAGTGAGTTATTCACAATGCAGTTAGCGTGTGGTACGAATTTGCATTTGAATTCTAAATAATAATAATAATAATAATAATAATAATAATAATAATAATAATAATAATAATAATAATAATAATAAAACCCGGTTTAAAATGAAGTCATCATATTAATAATAATGATAATAACAACAGTGATGATGATGACAACGACGATGGTGCGGTTAAGCACTTTATTTTTGGGGGAAGATGTGAGCTATAGAAGAAGTCGTTTATAGGCTACTGTATTATAATACTGTACAATAATAGGCTTAATAGATAATCACCATGCTGGAAGCACCTTACCCCCTTTCCCACACCCCTAACTCACTATTAAGGGGTGTCATCATTCCATCAATCGCCCTGTAATCGCCACCAAATGCCTGATGACGAACGTCAACAACCGCGAACACCAAGACATAATAATAATAATAATAATAATAATAATAATAATAATAATAATAATAATAATAATAATAATAATAATAATTCAACACATGTAACTGCTAATAAAATAACAAAAATACTGCTAATTATCATCTAGGTTACCTTGTCCCCTGATAACGTACACCACAAAGCTCGCAAAGACGAATGTCAACAACTTACAATCCATTCTACATTTCCAGTTTTTCCTGCGGAAGTAATTGCAAATGATCACACAGTGGTCATTTTATTAAAAAGTCAACTCCATTTCCAACGTCTCACGCATGTCAGGCCTAAGTTTTATTTCAAGAATACATTGAAATTTACTAAAGGAATTACCAGACACACTAATGTTGAGCGTTCAAAACACATTCGGCCATTAAACAGTGTCCTTCGAAATGTGTTCTGCGATGTAAGCCTGAAATTCTAACTTTTTGTTGAACATGATGGTAGCGATGTTGGTGTTAATAATACAGATTTATAATTTTTGTGAATCATTATTATCACAAAATGTAAGCTGATTATGACGAGACTGAAATTATGATAATAATTATGATGAAGTCTGGCAGCAGCGATGACGATGATGATAACGATGATAATGATTACGACGAAGATGATGACGATGATAATGATGATGCTGACAGCAATGATGATAATGATGATGACGATGGTGTTGGATGACAATGGTAGAGACGACGACGACGACGATGATGGTGACGATGGAGATGATGATGACAGACAGCAATGATAATAACGATGATGGTGGTATGATAGATGTTGATGAAAAGATTAATTGATAAAAAGATGATGAAAAGATCAATAGATAAAAAAATCGATTAGAATACGAGGTTTACTGATAAAAACTTTGTAGAACTATGATTCATTAATTAGTCTGATTTACGCACGACAATCTCCGAACAACAGAATATATTGCACTCTCACAGATTACGAAGTCTTTTGCTCTAAAATGGAGGCATTGTTACTTGGTAATTGCGTAACTATCGGTTGGGCCAAATCTACTTGATTATCAATCTTAAAGGAAATTCCTAAAATAGTACACAGTTTGAAATCGGAACAAACAATTGTTGATACTTTGCACATCATAACGTATAAAGGTTAAAATATTTCACAAAAAATACGGTGCCCTGCAGCAGCGAATTGCCATCGGAACTGTACATCGATACAATGGTAGGCCTCTAGCTGTTCATTTTTTTTTTATTGTAGTTGTGTGTGTATATACTAAATAGTTGTATACTTTATGTTTGATAGGGATCTAGCATTCCTGGTTTGATAATAGAATCAACCATGTAACTTGTATCCTAAAAAAATACCACCCATCATTACTACAATATTTCCAATACACCAGGACGCAATTATTATAATATTATGAAGCACGAATAGTGGGAACTGCCAATTTTTGCCTACAACATGCCATTACCATAAAGGAATAAATATTTTGATTATGAATGTTCCAAGGTAAAGAGAATTAAGAAAAAGATTAGTTGAAAAAGATTACAGAACTCAAAAATGAAATAAATATATCATATCATGAGAAGCGTTTGAGGTTGCACAATAGAAAACCGTGAGTTTATTCGAATTATCAGACGTTAATTAATGTGTTTATTGAAAAGAAATTAAGACCATGAAAAAAACACAGCAAACCAATTCGGTCACGTGGTTGCAGTTTTGATGTAATCATTTTGCATTTAGCTTTCGCTTATCAATTTTGGAGTCTAATCCAACTATCTTTCATTTTCCCATTGTTGTCATATCATTTATTTATAAATAGGCCTATTATACACACTATATATAAGAACACACATTAGGCCTATGAT